TTGGGGGGGGGGGGGGGGCAATAGGGATTTCGCCTAGGGCGTCAAATTGGCTAGAAACGGCCCTGTCCACAAGAACTGTTGCTCACTTTGTGTCCGTCAGACAGTGCAAGTAGTCAGTTCTTGTGTCTTTCTCAGTGAATTCTATTGGGGCCTTCAATGTAATATTTGCATAATACTTTATTTAATCTCTATGCTTTCTGATGCGTGTTTCAACAGCATACAGTTAGTGCTGTTGTGTATATTCATTGGTATTCTGGTGTATATTGTTTAAAGGGCTGACACAGAGAGAGAGAGAGTTTGTGAAGTAGCAGAGAGCACTTTGCTAATGAACTGGAAAAGACCCAAACCTCCTCCTACTGTCCTCTACATGTCTCAATCTGTCAAATTCCAATTCAAACCAGCTTTATTAGCATGTATTTCCAAAGAAATGGACATTTTTTTAAATAAATAAATGCATAAATAAAATAGTCTGTCAGTGTATTCTGTCAGAAAGAAGCACACAGGAACCACACGATGTTGATGTATTATAAATATCCAGAGTGACATTAGATAGAAAATCCTGACAGAAAATCCTGCAGTGTGCTGTGGTGTTGTGCATTTCACTAGTAAACTTTGAAGGCAGTTTGATATTACAATTTGGTGTTAAACATGATGCAGGTTGTGATAAATTGTGTTTTCATCATAGGTGTGATAGGTATGATATAAATTGTGGTGCTGTGTTATATAAGGAATGAAAACCGAAAGCAATAATCTACTGAAACTAAATAAACCTTAAAAAAACATAATAATGTAGCCACCATAAAACTAAAACTAAACTGAAAATAGTGACTTAAAAATATATATATTCATCATAAAAATAACTAAAGCTTTACAGAAACTTTAAACAAATTATATATATAAAAAAATGAGATTTTCATAACTAATAATTATGTTGGATGCTGTCAGAGGTATAAATGACTAGATTGTGTGCTTCATGAGTGCTTTCACATGTAGTGAGATTAATCATCAGTTCAGTTGCTGTGTGTGTGTGTGTGTGTGTGTGTGTGTGTGTGTGTGTGTGGAGAGGTTCAGTATCAGACTGACAGCTTTAATTGTGTGCTTTCCTCAGCGGAGGTGTGGAAACGTCTCTGTTTGTCTTTGTTGATTTATTTATCTTTCCTTATAATGAATCCACATAATGAAGGTGGCAACAGTGCAATTAAAGCAGTCTCTCTCTCTCTCTCTCTCTCTCTCTTTCTCTGTGTGTAGGACATCCAGGCGGAGATTGAGGCACATAATGATGTCTTCAGGAGTGTGGACGGGAATAAGATGAAGATGGTGAAGGCTCTGGGGAGCTCAGAGGAAGCAGTTTTCCTCCAACAGAGACTGGATGACATGAACCAGCGCTGGAACGACCTGAAGGCCAAATCAGCCAATATACGGTCAGTCACACACACACACACATAAACCTCAAGTTCAAGTGCTCACACATTAATGGTAAGAGCCACTCGTAAGGACAGATGGAGCCGTGTTTCAATTCTATTGTCGATCTGAGTGTGTGTGTGTGTGTGTGTGTACCATTTAAAATGGTAAAATGGACCAACAAGAGAGTGTGACTGTGTGTGAGAGAGAGGAAAACAGTGTAATTGTGTTCTAATCTAATTAGGCACTAATTAGTGAACACGTGTAATTACAAGTCTTGCTGATACATCCATTTACACACACACACCAGGGCTTGACACTTCTTTTTTCTAAGTTAAAAAAATGAGTGCATTAAAAAAACTTTAGGGGTGCAATTAAAATGTATAATGTGTTTCCCTTTAATAAAAGGACACAAGGAGACATTTACAAGTAAAATGATTTAATTTATTAGAATACAAAAAGTACTTAGTTATATATATTTCTGCTTCAAACTGTATTTAATAATTATGTAATTATTTAGGTGCCTACTTTAAGCTAAAACCTGCACAATGCAGGTCTTTTAATTTTAAACAAGAAGAGAGAGAGAGTTTGTGAAGTAGCAGAGAGCACTTTGCTAATGAACTGGAAAAGACCCAAACCTCCTCCTACTGTCCTCTACATGTCTCAATCTGTCAAATTCCAATTCAAACCAGCTTTATTAGCATGTATTTCCAAAGAAATGGACATTTTTTTAAATAAATAAATGCATAAATAAAATAGTCTGTCAGTGTATTCTGTCAGAAAGAAGCACACAGGAACCACACGATGTTGATGTATTATAAATATCCAGAGTGACATTAGATAGAAAATCCTGACAGAAAATCCTGCAGTGTGCTGTGGTGTTGTGCATTTCACTAGTAAACTTTGAAGGCAGTTTGATATTACAATTTGGTGTTAAACATGATGCAGGTTGTGATAAATTGTGTTTTCATCATAGGTGTGATAGGTATGATATAAATTGTGGTGCTGTGTTATATAAGGAATGAAAACCGAAAGCAATAATCTACTGAAACTAAATAAACCTTAAAAAAACATAATAATGTAGCCACCATAAAACTAAAACTAAACTGAAAATAGTGACTTAAAAATATATATATTCATCATAAAAATAACTAAAGCTTTACAGAAACTTTAAACAAATTATATATATAAAAAAATGAGATTTTCATAACTAATAATTATGTTGGATGCTGTCAGAGGTATAAATGACTAGATTGTGTGCTTCATGAGTGCTTTCACATGTAGTGAGATTAATCATCAGTTCAGTTGCTGTGTGTGTGTGTGTGTGTGTGTGTGTGTGTGTGTGTGTGTGGAGAGGTTCAGTATCAGACTGACAGCTTTAATTGTGTGCTTTCCTCAGCGGAGGTGTGGAAACGTCTCTGTTTGTCTTTGTTGATTTATTTATCTTTCCTTATAATGAATCCACATAATGAAGGTGGCAACAGTGCAATTAAAGCAGTCTCTCTCTCTCTCTCTCTCTCTCTCTTTCTCTGTGTGTAGGACATCCAGGCGGAGATTGAGGCACATAATGATGTCTTCAGGAGTGTGGACGGGAATAAGATGAAGATGGTGAAGGCTCTGGGGAGCTCAGAGGAAGCAGTTTTCCTCCAACAGAGACTGGATGACATGAACCAGCGCTGGAACGACCTGAAGGCCAAATCAGCCAATATACGGTCAGTCACACACACACACACATAAACCTCAAGTTCAAGTGCTCACACATTAATGGTAAGAGCCACTCGTAAGGACAGATGGAGCCGTGTTTCAATTCTATTGTCGATCTGAGTGTGTGTGTGTGTGTGTGTGTACCATTTAAAATGGTAAAATGGACCAACAAGAGAGTGTGACTGTGTGTGAGAGAGAGGAAAACAGTGTAATTGTGTTCTAATCTAATTAGGCACTAATTAGTGAACACGTGTAATTACAAGTCTTGCTGATACATCCATTTACACACACACACCAGGGCTTGACACTTCTTTTTTCTAAGTTAAAAAAATGAGTGCATTAAAAAAACTTTAGGGGTGCAATTAAAATGTATAATGTGTTTCCCTTTAATAAAAGGACACAAGGAGACATTTACAAGTAAAATGATTTAATTTATTAGAATACAAAAAGTACTTAGTTATATATATTTCTGCTTCAAACTGTATTTAATAATTATGTAATTATTTATAGGCCTACTTTAAATTGTATAAACTATATTGGCATGGTCTGTTTATTACAGTTATACATATATCTGTGTAATTATAAATATATTGGGACTCTTATTTTGAAATGTCTGTGCTTTACTAATGCTGGCTGCTCATTGAAACAGATGAGGGAGATCAAATATGCACTTTTACAACCATCTACAACATTTTACAATATAAACACCATAAAGTAAACAATGTCATAATACATCAACTGTAGATCATAAGCAATCTGTTGGCTAAAATGTGAACTGCTCTGAAAGCGTGAGCTTGGAGAATGCACAACAGTGCCGGGTTTTTACTATGAAATGTGCAGCGCTTATATTTATCTCATGAAATCATAGCCTTTTGAAGTTTAATAATCACATTAGGTTGTATGGAGAATCCCGTTTTTCCTTCGCCAAATTTAACACCTCTTAAAATGATCAAGACGTTTGTTACACCATGTAAGATATTTAAGGCTTTTATGACATTACATTGTATAATGTTTTTTTTATTCACACAGATCCCCCTAATTGCATGTTACAGTTCTCGCACATATATTTTTAATCACATATGTGAGTAAAATGCTTGCACTGTTAACCCTTGTGCACACGCACGCACGCACGCACACACACACACACACACACACAACAAGTTTCACCTGTTGCACTCATTCTGTTCAGAGAAAGACTGTTGGAACTGTTGTGTTCAACCACGTGTTTGTGGGAGAATCCTGATGCATTCTAAATGTAACATCTTCATTAGTGCCAAGATTTGTACGATTTTTTTGAATGCATGTGTAATTGTGTGTGCAGGGCTCATCTGGAGGCCAGTGCTGAGCGCTGGAACCGTCTTCTGTCAGTCCTGGAGGAACTGAGCTGCTGGATCTGTGTGAAGGATGAGGAACTGAACAAACAGATGCCCATCGGAGGAGACGTGCTCACAGTGCTGCAGCAGCAGACCCACTGCACGGTGAGAGCCAGTCTCATCGCTGTCTACCCTCATCGCAGCTACTGTCTCGAATTCAGCTCATACTGTCCCGTCCCTCTCTTCTCATCGCAACTCCGTCATATCAGTGTTGTAGCGTTCTCTCTCATATATCCCTCTTCTCATTGTCTCTTCTCCTCTCTCATCTCGTTCTTCTCAGGCTGTGTCATCTCGTCTCGTCTCATTATGTACCTTGAAACACTCAGCCTTATCAGCTGAGGAAACACAATTAAAAGGGGAATTGTTGTAAATACTCGAATGTTGTGTGTAAAGCATGAAGACATTAAAGCAGTGGATAAACAAACATATGTATCAACCCTCTACACACACATTGGCAATAGAATCACCATTGGCTCGTACATTTTATAGTTTACCCACCAGACTAATATATATATATATATATATATGTGTGTGTGTGTGTGTGTGTGTGCAAAGACATCTTGGCCTGTCTCATCTTGTCTCTTTTCCTCTTTATTGTCCTGTTTCCTCTCTCTCCTCTACAGTCATATTGTCTCACCTGCGTCTTCTCTGGTCTCATCCCGTCTCATTTTGTCTCTCTTGACTCTCCTTTCCATCCTATCATCTTCAACACATTTTTCCCCTCTCCGTTCTCCAGCCTTTCATTGTCTCATCAGATTCTCCTGCTGGGAATATTGTAGTGTTTATGCTGCTCAGCTAAATGATCATATTGGGCCGTTATATTCTGATCATGTGTCGTACAGTGTACAGTGTCACTGAAATAACAAATGACCCACATGTGTCATTAACTGTCTGTGAGATAATGACAGTAATCAAGCTTATAGCAGGCCTGAGCTGAACAATCAGAGCGTTTACACTCTCACCTTTCCCTGAAATCGTTTTAAATCAGTGTTTGACTGACCCGAGATCACATATGATGTCTTGAAATGTTTACATACAGAGATGCATCTCATAATTAAGAGCTGTTTAAGGAGATTTCTGTTTGAAGCTTTCGATCAGTACAGACATGTTTTTCTGGTTTCTTTCTGCTGTATGATGCAGGAATACCTACAATACCAGACAAAACCACTGCAGGGATTATGGGAAGGTGTGACAGTTTGGTTATGCTCTCGATCTATCTTTCTCTCTTTCTCAGACAGTTTGACTAATGATTCTCTGGAGCCAAGAGAAAGATTGCCCCCCATTTGGACGTTCTCTCTCTCTCTCTCGCCACCTCATATTTTTCTTGGGCTCTTATAATAGATTGTCTTTGAGCTGGCTGCCCTGGTAAGAGCTTTAGCAGCGTGGGTATAAAACGCCAAGCCTTTTGAACACGTCACGGCTGATTAGTGTGCCGTGCCAACCGGGCAACCAGGATAGAGCGCCCCAGAACTCGAGATGGAAGTGAAAATGAATAATTTGTGTGAGGTCTGAGAGACTTGTCTGTCTGAAAACTTCCACTGATAAAGACAATGAGCCAGTTAAAGAGACGCAGAGTGACCTTTATTCCAAGATTAATTGAGTGTAATGAGGCCATTAAATGAAATGGAAACGGTGATTTTTAAAATACATGTTTTTTTTTTACTTTTAATATTCAATGAAATAATGTATATAAGCGTTAATTGCATTGTACCATCTCAAGCTAAATGAATATATTTTATTTAATATATAAATAAGCATAATATACTGGGATACAATTATGCCTTTAAAAAGGTAACAAGGTTGACAGTAACAGGGTTGACACTTTCACAGTTTAATATGACATTTAAGGCTTGAAACTACAAGGAGCTTAATAGAAAGATAATCTGAAGTTTTCAAGTATCAGTTGTTTATGAAACAAAATCATGGTAACACGGTTGACATTCAGCTCATCTCTTTATGAGAAACCAAAAAATATCAGATAACGTGATTAAAAAACGGAAGCATTCTTGAAGAGTTTCATTTCCTCAAAAACTGATTAGGTTAATATATTGCATTTTTATTTTATATTATTATTTGTTTTTTATTTATTTTTTATCCTGCATTACCAAAATGATAACAGGGTTGGCATACTTCTCTCGGGACACAAATGTATTTAAATATATAATTATTTATTTACTTATCTATTTTTTTTTTCATCTAAAATCTTTATATTTATGTAACACTTTAGTTTAGGGACATATTCTCACTATTAACTAGCTGCTTATTAGCATCACAAGCATATTGGCTGTTTATTAGTGCTTATAAAGCACATATTAATGCCTTATTCTGCATGACCTTATTTTAGATCCCTTAATCTGACCCCATACCTAAACTTAACACAACTACCTTACTAACTATTAATAAGCAGCAAATTATGATTTTAAAGCAAATGTCATAATAGTGAAAATTGGTCCTCAAACCAATGTGTGACTATGTACAGTGTTTGTGTATACACACACACACACACACACACACACACGATGGTCACAGATAGCACCCGTTTTGTAAAATTACCTATTAAATAAATATACTTCAAAATGTGTCTGTTAGAGAATTATCCCTTAACAGTTATCCTCTCAGCTGGTGTACAACACAGTTCATGGATATTGAGTGTGTCTCTGCGTGTGGCGGGTGTCTATTAGCATATTCATGTATGTCATTTTTCCACACAGCGTTCATTTGATTATTGGCGATAAAGTGTAAAGAGTACTTGAGGACAGTATCCTTATGTCTCAGTAATAGTGTTTATTAATCATACATCTACTTATCCAATAGAAGAGCCTTCTTTATTGCTGCTGTAAAGTCCTGAGAGTGGGAAAGTGTGTGGTATTCTCAGTTTTACTGATAAAGGTGTAATGCTGATAAAGCTTCTGACCGTTACAAGGACAAATGATTTATGTAATATCAGACACTATATTTATCATCATTTCAATAGGATAGTTCAAACAAAAAGGAAAATTGTCATCATTTGACCATATATCATTTAAAACTTGTATGTTTTTCCATGGGACATAAAAGAAATGTAGCCAGATGTCCGCACTGCTCTTTTCCATACAGTGGTCAGAAAGGACAGAAAAGCACTGTAAATGTATCATAAAACTAGTCCATAAATCCTCTGAAGCTATAAAAGAGTTTAATGTGAAGAACAGACTGAAATGTATATGCACATAGTTTCTAATTTTTCTTATGTGAGCACTATCATGCTGCATTAATCTCATCACTGTAAGGTTTTTTTTTTTAGTCCAGGCACCCAGAAAAGAAATAATGACCTTAAAAAGCTGGAAACTGTCTTTGCACTGATTGCTGTTACTCTGCCGGACTCAGCTCTGTTCAATAACGGTGACGTCTGTGTGATTTATTCTGATCATTTGGGTTGTGAATCCTCGAAGAGTTGAATACGAGACTGAATAAAGCCGCCGAGGCCTAGACATTTAGTCCTCGGTCATAAAGGAGTGTCGTCTTTATCCATTCTTCCAAAGAGTGTTCCAGGTTCAACTCAATTTCAGCTGTGCTGTTTGCTATCACAGAAAATGTATTTAACTATAGCTAGAATAAATGTTCAAATTCACATAGTGGTAACACTTTAGTTTAGGGACCAATTCTCACTATTAACTACTTGCTTATTAGCATGCATATTTGCTGCATATTTGCTACTAGCATATTAGTTCTTATAAAGCACATATTAATGTCTTATTCTGCATGAGCATATTTTAGATCCCTTAATCCTACAACTACCTTAATAACTATTAATAAGCAGCAAATTAGGAGTTTATTGAGGAAAAAGTCATAGTTAATAGTTAATGAGAATTGGTCCCCATTAAAAGTGTTATCATGAGATTAATGTTATAGAATAGCTCATCTAATCTGAAATGGCTGCTAATGTTGTCTGTACAGTTTCTGCATTTATAATGCTGCAAAAAAAATTCAGTTTCAAATAAATGCTGTTCTTTTGAACATTTCATTAATCAGATTAAAAAAAAAAAAAAAACTGAAATGTTTCTTGAGCAGCAAATCAGCATATTAGAATGATTTCTGAAGATCATGTGACACTGAAGACTGGAGTAATGATGCTGAAAATACAGCTCTGATCACAGAAATAAATTACATGAAAATATATTAACATTGAAAAATAAGTATTTTAAATTGTAGTAATAATAAAAACATTTAAAAATCACAGACCCCAAACACTCTGTGGTATCTGTGGTGTCGTGGAGAACCTGTAACATCAATGGTATTTTTCATTTTTTTTATATAGTGTAGTCTATATCTGTATGTGTCATGTCCATGTCAAGTCAAGTCACCTTTATTTGTATAGCGCTTTATACAGTACTGGTTGTGTCAAAGCAGCTTTACAGAGTCAAACAGGAAAATAGTTTGTGAAGCAAGTAAACCCAGAAACATTGTTATCATGATATGTGCAAGGACACCATAAAGTGACTTGCTTGTATAGAAAAATTATTTCTCATCATTCTCTCTGGCAGCACAAGACCAATAATATACAGAAAAAGTGTCACACACCTAATACTCATCTGTGGGCTTTTATTTATTTTTGCTGCAGCGCTAAACGCTTTCTGCTTTGTGCAAAAAAGAACAACAAAATTGCTTAACCCTTTCACGCATGGTGTCCACTACAGTGGACAGATGTTTGGAAACCATTTTGAACCATTTAGGTTGTAGCACCATGTCCCAACCACCAGGTGTTGAACCCCCAAAGTGCTGTCTACAATTCCATTTAAATATTGTCTTTGTGTCTATTTTTTGTTTTGAGATATTGCATCATATATTCAAAAAGGTGACGGGAAGAGGAGTTAAGTGTTAAATCCACAACAAATAAATAGGATGTCAGAAATACTTTTATCCAGATTTTAACAATATTTTTCTTGTACATTTTCTTTCTTTGACAGAAAATATATCTGTCCACTATTGGGCCTATATATATATTCAGCCTTATTTTGAATGTTTTATCAAAATTATGATATAATTTACACTTGAACAGTTTTATTAAACAGCAATATTAAATAGTCTTCAGATTTGATCGTTTATTTCAATGCTTACAGTCTATATTT